AGAATCCTGTCTCTGTCCGCCTCGGACTCCTCTCTCTCTCTCGATTATGGTGATAATCATATGTTTCTCGAGGACTCCTCTCCTCTCTGTCTCAGACTCCTCATCGGCGTCGCTGGTTGAGGACTCCTCGTCGTCATTTGTTTTCACACAGAATCGCCTTCCCCGTGTCTTCTCTCTCTTGGCCGTGTAAGTGCCCTATGTTATCTCATACTTGTTAATTGTTTAGGGTTTGAGAATTTAGGGTTCTTGTTTAGATGTTGGAGATCGATTGAGATTAATTGTTGGAGATCGATTGAGATTAATTGTTGGAGATCGATTTAGATGTTGGAGATCGATTGAGATTAATTGGAGATCGATTGAGATTAAACATATATTGACTACAATTGTTCAGGGATGGCTTTAATCACGCTATTGAATTTGAGCTTAGATTTTGAAATGCTAGTTTTTGGTACTTTAGTTGCTGTTGGGAAACCTGCTATTTTGGTGATTTGCAACATGGTAAATGTTATAGAAGATCTTTGAAATGTAAGAAACTTTAATACTTTATTGTGTTAGGACATTGGTATGTTGCTGTTTCTTTGTATTCTGCCCCATTTATCTATGTTTGCAAAGATGCTGAGGGAATAGAAATTGTTAAATGTTTATAAAAACCATATAAAAACCTTATAGAAAATGAAAATCATAAGAACTTTGTAAAAAATGGTTTATGCATCAAAAGTTGTAGTCTCATAAGCATTTTAAAAGGTTTTTAAACATTTGGGTTAAATATTTTGTTTTTGATGTTAATAAACAGATGGAAAGTAGTGAACCGGTTAATTATCTTCCATTACCTAACGGTATATATGAAGATGGAAGTGAACCATTCTCTCAAGCATCAATAATACAACATACGGATTTTAAACTAATTTGGAAAGTTAAAGCTGTTTTAAGCGATGAATCGTTCAAGCAGCTTAAGGATTCTTTCCTCGGACACATCATCAAGATTGCCTCAAAAAGCTTCAAATTCTCGGGCAAACTATTTCACTACATTATGATGAGGAGGCTGAAGACTAAAGGAAACAACTTGTGGTTCAGAATCGCTTCACAACCAACACGTTTCTCAATGAGAGAACTTTTTCGGTCAACATGTATTCCATATATATTTTACGTCTTTGTTTGATTTCTGCCAGTTATAAAAAGTTTTTATAAAGTTATTATAAAGTTTTTATAAGGTTTTTATAAGGTATGTACATATCATTTGAATGTGAAATAAACGAAATTTATGAGTAGATCTAACCTCATTGTTTAATAAATCACAGGTATTCATTGTGAAAAGCTCGATACAGATCAAAGTAGGAAGGGGAAAAAACCTGCTAAGAAACCCTACAGTTGGACGTCGCGAAAAGATTTGACCTTGAGTAATTTGGAGGATTACTTGTTTTCTGAACCAAACAGAGGAAACAGAGGCGCCGATGGAAGAGGATGAAAAGCTTTGCCTTGCAAATGTCATCCTTACAGAAGCATTCTTGATGACGCCTCATTCATTAGAGAAAATCCCAAGTTCAAGACTTCACCATGCATCTGATTTTGAGGCGTATACATCTTTGGCATGGGGAAAGGAAGCCTACAACGTCTTGTCAACAAGTATCAAGAGGATGGATACCAATACATGGGCAAGAGGCCAATATGAAGTCAAAGGTTTTCCTTTGGCTTTATTGATCTGGTCATTCAGCGCTGTACCACTTTTTGGAGCGACGTTTGCTGTATGCAACGACACGTCAAAGTGTGTCTATCCTCTATACTCTAACTGGGAATCTTTGTTAACTCCAAGATTAGATCAAATCGTGGATGCCATTCAATCATCGGATTGTGTAAGTTTTCATTCCTTTTATAACACTTTTTATTTGGTGATGAGCATTAATTTTATAAGGTTTTATATGGTTTTTAAAAGTATTTTAAAGCGAATTTTAATAGAGTTATTTAGGGTTTTATAAGGGA